CCAAATTGAAAAATATAAAATAAAAAAGTCCATGTCTCCACTTCCCCAAAGCACAATGTCCGTTTCTCTAATTTAGTTAATAAATATATATTTTTAGAAAATATTATGAAATTTCAATTAATTAAATTACTTGTTTAATTATATATATATATATATATATAATGTGGCTAAACGTCTGATTTTAATCTAAGCTTTTTTAATTTGACTAAAAATAATTTTCTTAGCAATTATTATACTCTCTTATCACACATATAAAGTATAAATTACTAATACTTTCACAAACAATTATCTAAATAATAATATTTAATTACAAATCTATTTAGCATACCAATATTAATAATGCTTCCGAAACAGTATTGACAACAATTTTTTTTTTTAATGTAACTACAGATAAGGGTGAAAATGAGATGAACAGAAGCGAGCTTAGGCTCAACTCACGTTGGACTCGTCAAAAAATATCACTGTTCTTGTTTGACTTATTTATATTTTGAACAAAAAAAAAAAAAAATTGTTCGTGTTCGACTCGTTTACTTAACGAGCCGAACACGAGATGTTCGCGAATAGAGTCATTTTGACAACTCTAATCACACAATCGTAAGATGTTAAATGCTTGGGTGAGATTTAAATTTTATTATTTATATTAAAACATCATTTAAATAAAATTTCATATATTTCTATTCTATTTTTTAATTAATAATTTTAATTGATTATAATTTTTTTTGTAGAAAATGTAGTCATTTAATTTTTTTTAAAATACAACTCATCAATCATACACACACACACACACAACGAGTCAAACACGAATGAACAAATTCTTGTTCATATTCGGCTCGTTTATATATCGAGAGCAAAATAATTACTGATGTCCGACTGGTTAATTTTGCGAATAAAATAAACATAAACTTTGTAACGAGTCGAACACAAGTTATTTATGAACACCGAACCGTTTTGACAGCCTTAACTACAGATATCATTCCAGTCAAATTATCTAGAGAATAATAATTATAACGCAATTTTTATAGTGACTTGACTTTAAATGGAACTTGTAAATTGGTATTTACATTTATTTCTTGTCTGGTAGGATTCGTTAAATTTCCTGCAAAATAATTGCCTTTCATCTAATAAAAGCGGGAAGCTTTGCTATAAATATTAGAGCTTGAGAAACTTGCAGGCATTACCAAGCTCAGATTCCTCTTTATATTTTCCTGAGGAGAATTTGAACGCCATACTCGGGTTCAAGGGTGATGAGCAGCCTGGGAGCATGAACATAGGAGGGAGACACCTCCAACTCAAATCTATGGAGAATCATGGAGAGAGCTACCTTCAGCTCAACGAGTGCCAGGTTCTGCCCGACACAAATCCTCGGCCCCAATCCAAAGGGAAAAAATGCTGCAGGACTGTCGGCTTTGTCGA